AAAAAAATCTGTCTTCCTTGAGCCTATGTCCTTGAGCCTATAGATAACAAACAAATTAATAATTAATTGTCAATATGTTGATATAGTGATTATTGTTATAATTACTTAATCATAGACAATTACATATCACTAAACAGGTACAAAGAAGTATTCTATAAAAATATAAGGAATAAAAATCAGAGTAAGAGGACAGACATGTTGGCGTGGTGGTGGCATTTTTGCAAGGATCGTCAGGGAAGGCCTCCCAAGAGAAGTGATATTTGCACAGAGGCCTGAATGAAGTGTTGGATTGAGCCTGAGACTATCTGTGGGGAACTGTATTATAGGCAGAGGGAACAGCAAGATCAAAGCCAGTGTGAGTATGTTTGTTAAAAGATAGTGTGAACATTGCTCAGGAAAACCCATTTGTGGCTTTTTCTCTTCATTGAAGTCACTCACCATTTAAAAGGGGCACCTCCCCACTGCCACCATCACTGTTTCCTGGCCATTCCAGGTGGCTGCCCTGCTGCTGCCCCACAGCCCCTGTCTGCTAAACTTTGTGGGAAGAGGGAGCACGTCCTTTCTGTGAAAAAATTTGGTCTCTCAGAGCTGCTCTGGCCCTGGAGCCCCTTCAGCACCAACCAGCTTTAGACTGACCTCTTGGTCCCTGCCTTCTCTGTGTGCCTGCATGAATACACACACACAAATGCACATACACATGCATGCACACACATACACATGAGCACATGCACATTTGCATGCATGTATGCGCACACACACCCCCCACCATGAGTTCCAGGATCCCTCCCAATCTCTGTGTAGGCTGATTATAAACCACCTTGCATGGAAGTCTGAAAGAACACTCATCTAATGTCAGGTTCCAGTAGTAGAACTTGGGGTAGTTTTCTGAATCTTCTTTTGCTTGTTTTTATTTCAGTTTTTGTAATAACACATGTACTTGGTTAAAATAAATTCAGCCAGTAAAATATATTAAAAGGATTTCATATCCCCAACTCCTTGCCAAGTCCCAGGCCCCCAGGGAATCACATTTAAACATTTCTGGGGGCTACCACAATAATCCTAAATAATATGTTTATCTTGCTGTTTATTGATCAGTCAACTTTAGACTTTTATGAATAGTTCACTTTTTCCTATCTCCTTACCTTCCCCTTGGAAGTTTTATTAAAACTTTTATTATATGCTGGTGACCTTTATGACTTTAGCATATCGAAACCATTATCTTTGGTATGTATACCTTACACAGTCTGTCTTGACTGCATTCTGTAAGATTTTGACTCCATCCTGCAAGATGGGGAAATTAGCATCTCTGAACTACCCTCGTCACTCCTCTTTCTCTTTACAGCCAGGCTTCTATCAGGCTGTCAATGATTTTTAATTTTTCTTTCAATAACAAATGCAAATGTCTTGACAGTGTGATCCTTTTATGCTTTGTCTATAAATAGGGTGAAAACTAAGTAGTTTCTAAATTATATAAATATTATCTTCTAGAGACCAAAGTCATGACTTGAAATTCATGGAGAGAAAAAAAAAAAAATACTTAATCTTGGCTGTAACACGTGGGCTCCTTGAAGAAAAATGGGTCATCATATTTCTTCTTCCACTCAATTAGTTTACAAAATCATACAACTTTTCATTTGCTTCATAGTTAGACCATATTTTCTTGAGCTCTTTTTGGTTTTGATTTTTATTTTCCCAAAGCTTCTAATGGCCTTTCCTTATTCTTGTTGGCAAAAGAAAGATGTGGCTCCTTCTTCACCATTTCTCTTCATCCAAGTAGATTCTTAATTATATACTTATTGAATGCCCCATTTTGGCTGCCTGACTTCCAGATCTGCTGCACAATCCTGGGACTTCTCTCCATTGTACTCCTGGGACAGTTTCCTTCTTTTTAGAGTCCCAAGATCCTCTTTCGTGGATGGCTTTTGGTTCTCCTGGAATACACCTTGAGAATTTTCTTTTCCAGAAAGCAATCTTACGTATCTGCAAATGTCTTTATTTTGCCCTCTTGTGATGATGGATTGGCTGAACATAGAAGTCTAAGTTCATGCCATTTATTCTTAGAAAATTTATGCTCTACTGTCTTCTAACATTCATTGTTATTGACTACAAATTTTAGCATCATTATTTTTATCCTTTTGCAAAATATTATTTTTTTCTGTGTGAAGCCCCTAAGTTCTCCTTATCTTTGAGGATCTGAATTTTCATGAAGATGTAGCAAGGTAGGTTTGTCTGCTTTTTTTTGTTTTATGTTCCATTTATTGTTTGGGCAATTGGTAGGCCCTCTTAACCTAAAGACTTCCCTTTCTTAGCTTGGGGAAATTTTCTTCTATTATGTCTTTGATTTTTTTCCCCCTCTCTTTCATTTTCTCTTTTCTTCCTTTTTGGAATTCTGTTAGATGCTGGACCTCCTGAATTGAACCCCCATGTCTGTTTTCTCTTGTATATTCCGTATTTTTGCCTTCTTATTGTACATTCTAGAAAATTTATGTTGGTTTTAACTTTTAGGACTTCTGCTAAATTTTCTATTGATCCTGTTTTCTATTTCCAATAAGTTGTTGCTTATCTTCTACATATATTTCACATCACCCTAGCCTGTTGCACGGATGCAGTATCTTTTCAAACCATTATGGACATTAATTAGAGTTTAAATTACTTTCAATACCCTGAGTTATCTTTTTTTGTCCTTTGTTACTTGTTGTTAGTTTATCTTGGCTCTTTCTTCTTATGCCATTGGATTGTTGCAAATGGCTGGTGATTTTTTGTCATCTATTCATATTTTTGAAAAAAGGACTTGGTGAATAAAGGTAACCAATATGGGCCTCCTCTGCCATTGGGTAGATAAGTATTCCCAATAGACCTCTCTTTTGGAAAGAGTTTAGGGCTGAAAGGTGGGGGTGCTTACCAAGAGCTCCAAGTTTCTGAGTTAAGCAGGCAATTGACAGGCTTTGCTTTGGTATACTTGGATGACATCTGATGGGCAGGTATGTAGGGGCTCCCCCAATGCCAAACAAGACAGGCTTCTTCTGTATTAGTCCATTTATGTTGCTAGGAAGGAATACTTGGGGCAGGGTAATTTATAAAGAAAAGAGGTTTGTTTGGCTCATGGTTCTGTAGGCATTACAAGAAGGTACCAGAATCTGCTTCTGGTAAAAACCTCAGGAACCTTTTGCTTATAGCAGAAGGCAAGGGGGCCTGTGTGTCACATGGTGAGAGAGGGAGCAAGACAGAAGGAGGGTTGTCACACTCTTTTCAACAACCAGCTCTCGAGTGAACTAATAGAGTGAGAACGCATTACCACAGGGAGGGCAGCAATCCATTCATGAGGGATATGCCTCCAAAGCCCAAACACCTTCCACCAGGCCCACTTCTAGCATTGGGGATCACAGGTTAACATGAGATTTGCAACTGGGACAAATATCCAAACTCTATAGCTTCACTGTATGGTGTTAATCTCCATATTGAAATCTTAAATCTAAAGTAGATTGTTCAACTTCAAAAGAGAACCACTTTATCTTTTGGGCCTAAGACCAATCATCCTCAGACCAATTGCCCATTTGTTATGGAGTAGGGATGGGGGACCAAAAGACCTCATTATTGTCTACACAACCATTAAATTACCTTTGTGAGTACTGTCATAATCCAAGGCTGCTCTCTGAATCAACCAACTCAAAATTGGGCCTTCCAGTTAGAGTCCAAGCTCTTCCATCTGTTCTGAAGGACACTGTTCTTTGTTACCTTTATGCTATCATTGTCAAAATCTCTGATTTTGCTCTCACCCCGATTCTTTCCTTGTATAGATTGTTTTTTATCTTTGGATATCTTCTCACGTTTCACTGGGGTCTGGAAAAGAACAGCCACTAAATGTGGAATTGTCCTTCCATTGAATTGGAAGCCTTTATATTCCTGTTGCTTTTCTGACTTTTCTAAAATGAGTGTGTATTATTACATTTATAATAAGAAAAATAAGAAAAACAGCTGTTTTCAAAACGGAAAGGCTTTAGAAATTTATTCTCATCAGGCATAAAAGAGAAGAATTCCTTTTTTTTTTTTTTTTTTTCAGATGGAATCTCACTCTGTCACCTAGGCTGGAGTGCAGCGGTGCTGTGGTGCTGTCTTGGCTCACTGCAACCTCCACCTACTAGGTTCAACTGATTTTCCTGCCTCAGCCTCCCAAGTAGCTGGGATTACAGGCATGTGCAACCACGCCCAGCTGGTTTTTGTATTTTTAGTAGAGATGGAGTTTTGCCATGTTGGCCAGGCTGGTCTCAAACTCCTGACCTCAAATGATCCACCTGCCTCGGCCTTCCTAAGTGCTGGGATTACAGGCGTGAGCCACAGCACCCGGCCTGGATCTTGCCAATGTTTTATACCAACCATTGTAGCATTAACCAGGAAACTACTTTCTCACAGTGCTTCAATCTGAATGAGGAAGAGGCTAGAGAATTTTGCTATCTTCCTTGTGCTTTTTATTTTTGCAAGATGAATTAGAAATGTTGTTAATACAGTAAGAATATTAAATATAAAGCCTACTATTAAATGCCCTGAAACTTTGTGGTTTAAAATGTCAAGCATTTATTGGTTTGCTCTTTGGAGTGACTTAGTGGATGGTTCTCCTGGTCGCACCTAAGGTCACTCATTTGTCTCCAAACTATTGGCCGATGGCTTCTTTCACCTGTGTGGGAGTTAGCTGGCTACTGGCTGGGGCAAGAGGGATGATTGGGCCAAGTGTTTCTCATCACACAACAGGCAAGCTTGGGCTTACTCACGTGATAAAGATTGTGGGATTCCCAAGAGCAGCAAGAGGGGAAACTGCAGGGCTCAGCATTCACACGACATCACTTTCACCATTTTCTACGGTCAGAGAAAGTCACAAGGCCAGCGCAGATTCAAGGGGAATAAACTTCACATCTTGATGGATGGAGCTGTGAAGCATTGTAGCAGTTTTGCAATTCACCATTTAGTAATTCTAATTTTCTGTTGTCTAATTCTGTTTTCCTCAGGCTTCTGAGGGCCCAGTCTCTGGAATGGTTCTACAATAATGTGAAGAGCCGCTTCAAGCGCTTTGGCAGTGCCAAGGTTCTGAAGAACCTGTACAGGAAGCACCGGCTGGAGAGTGGTGCGTGCTTCGACATTCTAGGTACTCTCACTTCCTGCCACTCTAGGAGTCTTTGGTGGGCTGGTGGGTAGAAGGCCTGGCTCAGGGGCCCTGAACACTGGAGCACACTCACCTGGGACAGATAAATTTGCTTAACTATCCGGCACTAGTGAGAAGCAGAAATAGAAGGACGGATGCCAGAGACTCTGCTAAGTTTTGACTCTTTTGGTTCCAGCATCCCCACTGGGCTAGAGCTTATAAGTTAGAAGCTGTGAACACCAAGTACTTCTACAAATTGTGATTATTTTAATCTCAGATCAAAAATTAGGTATTCTTGATCATCATCCCTTAATGATTAAAACGTTGGAAAGTCATTTGCCCTTGGCTACAGAGAGACTACAACTGTCCCTGGAGGGCATGCCCTCCACCTTCCTTTCTTCTTACTCCAAAATTCTGTTCGTATGGCCCAGAAGCTGATGTGGTGGGAGAGTGAGAAAAGTGTCTGCTTCCTCCCAGGAAACTTGAAGGATGAATGTTTTTTTTAACCTGTGCTGTTTTTATACAGTTGAGACAACCAAGTTCATTGGAATGAGAAATTATATTCTTTAGTCCTATTAGATCAGCCAGTAGAAAAGAATGGTGGTCAGAATATGGACAGCATGCCTTCCAAAAAGTCTGTTTCTTTCTATCTAGTGGCAGGTTTTTTTGTTTTTTTTTTTATCACTTGGCTAACACAGGTAAATGCTTTTTATCCATGAGAAACAAGGAAGAAATCTAATTTGGAGCTTTTTCACCATCATTATTTTATGTCGTTTTCTCAGTAGAGTCTTTGGTTGTGTCTTACCTAAAAATATGCCAGCCACTTAGACAATGGGGAAAATAGAATGGAGGCACTAACCATGGAGAATCATTAGGGTCTTCTGTTGTCATTATTAGAATCTCTGTCTTTCAAACTGCTCAGGAAAGCTATAGCTAAGAGAGCAGTGCTAAAGGTTTCCACATATTATGTTTATCACCATTTCACCAATTTCTCTAAAAGCTCTGTAGGAATGGAGGCAAAGAAGAAATAAAGCTTAAAAGTCATACTGTTAGCAGTTTTTCAACCCAGAGAGAGATCTGAAGAAGGTTCATGAATAGAATCGGCTCACTCATTTGCATCCCATCCTCCTTTCCTCTCTTGTACATCCTCGGGTATGCTGAATATGCCCCTTTAAATGTCAACAAATTCAGATCTCGTAGGTGTTCTTTACCACTTAATGCACATTGAGGAATAAAGCAAACATGTGGAAAACCCTGTAGAATAGAGCAGAATTTTTATTTCCTTCCCTTTCTCTCTAAGTCTCCACAAGTGGAGAAGGCAGGCATGAATCGCAAGTGGGCTAGTATTGCAGGGCTTTGAAATTTACCAGGATCAGTTTCAAAGGAGAATTCTTTGCTAAGAATAAATATCTGCCCTGATTGAAGCAGCTTTAGGTGCTGGGCCCTCTGTGATTCACCACTTTCTTCATCTGAGCCTCAATCACAGCACTTATCACATATCACATTGCATTCAGGATTACACAGCTGCCTCTCCTGCCAGACTGTGATATGCAGGTGGTAGCTTGTTTATCTGTGTTCTCAAAGCGTGGCTCAAGGCCTGGCACATCTTATATCTTCATTATTGTACTAGTTCAACCTTAAAAGCATTTTATGGGGCCAGGCATGGTGGCTTATGCTTGTAATCCCAATATTTTGGGAGGCTGAGTCAGGAGGATCACTTGAGACCAGGAGTTCAAGACCAGCGTGGGCAACATAGCATGATCCTGTCTCTACAAAAAAAAAAAAAAAATTAAATTAAATTAGCCAGATGTGGTGGCATGCACCTGTCCTTTGAGCTACTTGGGAGACTGAGGTGGGAAGATCACTTGAGCCCAGGAGGTTGAGGCTGCAGTGAGCCATGATTGTGCCACTGCACTCCAGCCTGGGTGACAGAGAAAGACCCTGTCCAAAAACAAAGCATTTTATGGATACCAAGCCGCTTCATAGAAATATGAGAATCAGTTGCTTTAATACTATTCATATCTCCATTTAAGTGAAGATTTCTTTTGGAGAAACATGAAGACAGGCAGACAGGAGACAATTTATGAGATGGTACTCAAATATAGAAAGCCATAGTCATAAAACGACGAGATCTATTCTACAAGCTACATAGGAAATTTAGTTACACTTCAAGTAGGGAGAAATCTTCCAGGGCTTAAGTAGCCTCCTGGTTGTGTGAGATGACTCAAGAGCCATTCATTAGCTTTTGCTTGTTACCCAATACCCTTTGTAGGTTTGTCATCTGCCATCCTCGATTCATGACTACACATTAGAATCGCCGAGGGTACTTTGAAAAAAACCTTCCAATACCCCAAATCATTGTCCGCCCCCCATTAATTACTGCTGAATTTCTGGAGGTGGAATCCAGTATACATATTGTTTAAAGTTGCCTGTATTATTCTAAGGTACAGCCAAGACTGAGAACAAGAGCCTCAGCTAGAACTCAGAGTAATTAGTTCAGCAGTGTTCTTCCAACTCTATCTAATGGTACTTCTTTTCAGAATTTTAATTGTCAGAACATGAGATGCAAAATCTGCATTGCACAAGGTATGTGCTATGCTCCAGGACTCTTAGTATAAAACTCCTTTCACCTACAGAACGTCTTCATTATGTGGACCACTGTAGTTTGCCATAAAACCACTCAATTCAGGTCAGCCACAGTGGCTCACACCTGTAATTCAGCACTTTGGGAGGCTGAGGCGAGCAGATCATGAGGTCAGGAGATCGAGACTATCCTGGCCAACATGGTGAAACCCCATCTCTACTAAAGTACAAAAAAATTAGCCCAGCGTGGTGGCACTCACCTGTACTCCCAGCCACTTGGGAGGCTGAGGCAGGGGAATCGCTTGAACCTAGGAGGCAGAGGTTGTAGTGAGCCGAGATTGCGCCGCTGCACTCCAGCCTGGCAACAGAGCGAGACTCCATCTCATAAATAAATAAATAAATAAATAAATAAATAAATAAATAAATAAATTCACTGAAGATTGCTTCAATCCACACAATCTCACATATCACCCATCACATACACACCTTGTAGTGCCATCAGTTCCTCAGCAGTGCTCCCAAGCTAACCTTACTCCTTCTCCTGCAGCTCACAGCAGGTGACCAGATTAGCCCTAAAAGAAGACTTGTTTGTTTTATCAGACAAATCTAAGATGTATTCATTTATTCAGCAAATATTTACTGAACACCTACTATGTGCCCATCTGGCTTAAGATGTTAGAAGTGAAGAAATGAACAAGACCCTGCCATTTCAGAGCCAAAACTCTAGTGGAGAAGTCAGATGAGTAAATACATTCATAAATGAAATAATGTCCAAAGGTAACGAGTGCTCACATGGCTTCTCTGATGATAGACCCAGCATGACTTTTTTTTAAATTTAATTTTATTTTAAGTTCCGGGATACATCTGCGGGACGTGCGGGTTTGTTACATAAGTAAACATGTGCCATGGTGGTTTTCTGCACCTATCAACCGACCACCTAGGTATAAGCACCACATGTATTAGCTATTTATCCTGATGCTCTCCCTCCCCCTGCCACCTTGACAGGCCCCAGTATGCATTGTTCCCCCTGCTGTGTCCATGTGTTGTCACTGTTCAGTTCCCATTTATAAGTGAGAACAGAGAACACAATCTGACATTTTTAACAGTTATCCTAAAAGAAGCACTACATGAAAAAGGTAAAAGTTGCCATTATTAATATACTTAATCTTCAGACAATTGGATAAATAATATATGCTTTTATTTAGTGTTAGATAAATAAATGGGAAAAATAAACCTTGCTTTTATTATCATTCTATATCTAATTTTGACATGATTCTTAAAGAGTTCTATTGCTTCGTCTGGGATTTGATGGACAAATGTGGTTTTCTAAAAATGCTGAGCCACATGAAATTAGAGTTTCCGCCAACTCATGAAAAATAGTGGCTTCATGTCTTCTGGCTGTTTAGCCCATGCTTTCCAGAACAATTCAGCCCCTTTCTGCCCTTGAAAGAAAATCACATCATCCTAAATGACACCAACGCTCCCACCTCCAAATTTAAAAGGGAAACAGAAAGAGAGGTGTTTTACTAGAAGATTTAAAGTCATACAAAACTAGGGCTTGTCCTCTGGTGAGGTCAGTCTTCCAAAGACTTTTTCACATCTCCCTTCCCCTTATGTTTCCCATGGCCCTCCCCATCCTCTCAGCAGGCAACCTCAAATCTTCCCTCCTATGGCCTACAGGGCATGCCAGGCAGGGACTTGCCCCTGCATGCAGCTGCAGTGGGAGTGCTGTCTGCCTTCTCTGTTGCCTCCCGCTCCCCCTTGGTCTTGCATCTTGATATCCCTCTCACCTTCCAGGAAAGTCTAAAGGTCACTTCTTGCTTATTCAATCTCTGTCTTTACTGGGATTTATAAACACACCCAAGTCTCTCCTGTTTTCTAAACCCCTCCTTGACTGCATTTTCCTCCAATTGTCCTGCCATCCTCTTTCCCATCACAGGTCAACTTAAAAAAGTGAGCTGCATTCAGAGCTTCCATTGTCTGCCCTTCCTCAGTCTACACTCACCTTCACCCCCTTCCAAGCTATTCTCCACACAGCAGCCACAGTGCACTTTTAGAGGCACAGATCTTACCAGGTCGTCTCTGTGAAACCTTTAAGGGCTTCACATAGTGGTTGAGATAAAGATCCAAACACTGATGTGGCCACCATGACCTGCATGGCCTGTGTCCCCAGGTCACCTCACCAGAGCTGCTTTTTCTCTCTGCAGCCCTGCCACGCTGACTCTCATTTAGGCCTTCAGATACACCCTTTCCTCCCAGGACCAGTCTCTGTGCAAGCTGTTTGCTGTGCCTTGTATGTTCTCCCACTCCCTACACCCTTTGGCTGATTCTTCACTGCTTAGGTCCGTCTTCCCTGCTGAACACTTTCACTGGGCTGTGAACCATCCCGTCAAAGCACTTAACCTATCTATAATTTAATATGTATTTTTATAAGCATTTGATTAACGAATTTCCCACATGAGAATCTCATGCTTGTCAGGGTGGGGTGGGGGCAGGTTTAACTTTGCTCATCAGTGTGCCCCTAATACCTAGGCTGAAGCCAGGCACCTACTGATGCTCATAGACTATTTGCTGGATGAATGAATAAATTCTAGATGCAGCCATGCCAAGCCACACAACCAGTAATTTGCAGGTCCAGGAATTGACCTGACATTTCTCAGACTTTAGTCTATTGTTCTGTCTTTGACTCCATATTGCCTGCAAAGAAGGTATGGGAAGAAAGTTGGGGTTGGTAGCAATGCTGCACCAGGAATCAGTGTGAGAAGAAAAAAGCAATGGGTCAAAAATGTTAGCATTATTGTGGGAACTCATGAGTCCCTAAACCTATTTGCAAGGCTAACAACCCAAGTGTGTAATAGCAGTCTGCCAGTTCAGTGACACAGAGCATCAGTGTTCACTGAAGACCTTTGATAATCATATTCATTCTCTTCTCCCACTCCTACCCTGCCAGGAGGAAGCCTTTTTGAGTCAAACCTGGAGCATGAAGGAAGCATTTCTGGCAGTGATTCAACATTTTATAGGCAGTCAGAAGGTAAATTTGCTTAAGAGTTTACAGCTACTGGGAAGTTGGAGGAATAGAAACACCTACAGGTACAGGTACTGCCAGGGTCCGCCAGGTGCATTGTTACCCCAGATGCAACTATCTACTACTACGTGTGAGTCTCCCTGGGTCACTTATTATTGCCAATTGCATGAATCCATCATATGGCCATCCAAAGTGTGGCCAAGGGAACAGCATTCATTCCCAACCATGGATACTTTACAGTCAACTAGTAAATATTCTTCTGGAGTTGGAACATATCAATCAACCCACTCACTTGTGCATCTCTTATTAAAATATTCCCTTAAAGAAGGTATCATTTACTGATTAAATTCTACTTTTTTATACCAATATAATTGCCCCCTTAGAGCAGTGGTTAAAAGCAAAACAAACTTCTAATTTCAAATAAAACTTTATCACTTCAATTCTTTGTCTGAAGTACTGGACATTGATAATCAGTGCCCCCTGAATTGCCTTCCTCCTGTGACCCCCACAGCTCATCTGTGCCCTCTATTCTCTCTTTGGGGGCTGTGATGGTTAATTTTGTGTGTCAACTTGACTGGGCTAAGGGATGCCCAGATAGCTGGTAAAACTTTATTTCTAGGTTTGTCTGTGAAGGTATTTCTGGAAGAGAATAGCATTTGAATCATAGACTGAGAAAAGAAGATCTACCCTCATCAGTATGAGTAGGTGTCATCCAATCCATTGAAAGCCCAGATAGAACTGAAACGCAGAGGAAAGGTGAATTTACTGTCCCTCTTCTGAAGCTGGGACATCCATCTTCACCTGCCCTCAGACATCAGAGCTTCTGATTCTTGGGCCTTCTAACTCAGGACTTAAACCAGCAGCTCCCCCATTCCACAGCCCTTCACATTTGGACTGAATTATACCACTGCTCTTATGGGTCTCCAGCTTGCACACAGCATATCATGGAACTTCTCAGCCTCCTTCATCACATGAGCCAATTCCCATCATAGATCTCCTATTTTATATCTATATATATCCCATTGGTTCTGTTTCTCTGAAGAACCCTAATACAGGTGCCTTCTCTTGAAAATTCTGTCCACTGTTATCCTTATTACCTGCAGCTCCTCCATAGGTTACCACACACCATTGTACGACCTCAAGTGCACCTCCATTTGCTGCTGAGCCAGAAATGCCCAACCTTGATTTCATCCCAGAGTTCTAGGCTCAGATTTCTAATGCTTGGCCATTAGCACCTGAAGATCCTATAGGGTTCTTAACCCCAACTTGTCCTAGTCAAGCTCTTTAGCCACTTAGGTCTACCAGTGAGAGATATGTTTCCTTCAGTCCTATCCTCATTTCCCCCAAGCTACAAAAGTACTTGTCAGCCCTGTTTTCAATCTTACCCTTTTCTCTCCATTCTAAACCCCTATCCTTCATACCTCTCTGCCCGAAACTCTCTGGTATTAGTGTTAATTTCAGTGGCCATCTGTATCAGCAGGGTTCTCCAATACACTAAATATATATGTATGTACATGCACACACACACACACACACACAGATTCCTTTTAAGGAATTGGCTCATGCAGTTGCAGGGGACTGGCAAGCCCCAAACATACAGGGTAGGCCAGCAGGTTGAAAACTCAGACAGGAGTTGCTGCTTCAGGCTTCAAGCTGAATTTCTCCTCTAGGAAACTTCAGTTTTTGCTCTTAAGGCCTTTCAAAGGATTGAATAAGACACACCCACATTGTGGAGGACAACTCTTACATGAAGTCAACTGATTGTAGATGTTAACGACATCTAAAGAATACCTTCACGGTAACACCTGGACTAGTGTTTGATTAAATAACTGGGTACTATAGCCTAGCCACATTGACACATTGACCATCCCACCATCTAGCTGGTCTTCTGAACTTTGGCCACTTTACCTTCTTAATCTTACCCCCAACCCTTGCCAACCTTTCTCTCTGAAACACTAACCTGAACCTTCACTTTTTACCCAGAGTTCCACATCACTTTCATCTAAGAATTATAATCATAGCATCCAAAGCCTTCCTAGTTACAGCTCCAGGTGCCTACCTTCCAGGAGTCTACACGGATAGTTATGCATGTCTCTTAGTGGTTACTTATATGTCTAATCACCCAATATCTTGGAAGGTACATGAAAGCATGGACTCAGCTTGTCCATCAGGTTGTCACTGGGGCCATCACAGAGCCTAGCACACAAATGGTACTCAGTAAACATTTGTTTGATTCAACAAAAATTTGTACTATTTTCTGTGAAAAATACGTTGGTGACTATCTTGAAGAAGAGAGAGGGGAGATACAGTGTCTACCACCAGGGAGCTCTTAGTGTGTGTGATGACAATTTATATCGTGTAGGCTCTAGCTATCAAAACATTGGAAAGACTGTGCTACCTGGTGGTGTGCAGAGCCCTGGGCCGAGCTGCCCCTATGTGGCTCTATCATGACTGTCATAGCTGGCTTGTGACATACTCATCAGCTAGCTAGATCACTTTGACCTTAAGTGGATTGTTTAGAGACTTTATTATGTTTGCCAAATGATACTTTCTGTCTACATCTGTGTCCTTAAGAGTCTAAGAAGCTTGAATTATTTTTTAATTGAGTAATTAATGAATTGATGTATTCACACCCTGTCTCATTCCACAAAGAATTTTCAACAGCTTATAGGAGATTTGCATGTGTTAAATAATATATGAGTAGGAGATTATAAATGGAAACAGGAGGTTGAAATTGGGGAAAAGGAGACCCAAGTACCCAGCCCTTGCTGACCTACATTCCTGCATGTGATGTGACTTGGACTTCTAGGGAAAACTAAGAAAAGGATGATAGAAATTCTCACAAGTAAGAAGCTAAAATCTAGGATCTCAAGGGAAACAGAACTTTTCCCAGCACTTAGCTCCAAAAAGAACTCTTCACTTGGGGAAGTCTTTTACTTTCTCTCATTTGTTGCCAATGTTGTCTTAAAAAAAAAATGTCCACTAAAAATATGGTAGCACGATATTTTTAAATCATGTTAGCTTGTATTCGTGTCAGTTTTGTGATTAAAATCAAGGGCTTTGAATTGGAAGGAATTTGGAATGGAATCCAAATTCAAATTCAAAGGAATTGGAATCCAACTGGATTCAAATCTTAGCCTTCTTGTCTTGCTGTGTACCTTGGGTGAGTTATTTAACCACTCTGTGCTTGAAATTTACCATCTGTAAAATTGTACCTATATGGCACCTACTTACCACTGGATTTTTGACAGAATTAACTGTGATCATGTATGTGAAACTCTGGGCCTGGGGCCTGCCATGTGGCTGAGCTCTGTGAGGTTGGCCAATGTTGTTAATACTGGTTGATAGTCTAAAAAATTATACCATAGAGTTTATATCTGCACTAAGTCATATGCACAGCCCAATGTCCTTAGTACATTTAATAACATTTTCCCCATCATCACAATAATACATTATATGGACAAAATAAAGCATAATTTTTATCTGAGAAAGTGGATGAAGAACCATTATTTCCTTATATTAAGCCCTTTTGTTCAGTCATCTTTAAGCCACTCTGTGTGCTTGGACCAGTGCTTCATTTTTGTATGATCATATTCATACAACAATGAATGTGATCAATTCTCGTTCTCTGAAAGTGACCTGTGGGAAGGGGCCAGGGGCATGGAGCCTTTCTGGATGATGAAAGCAAGCCCAGAACCTGGGACAGACCTCAAGCAAAGGGTGAGGCTGAAGGGATTTGAGAAGATTTGTTAGAGGAGGAATTTTTGGGCCAAGCCTTGGGGTCCATGGGAACCAGCTCAGTTATGGAGCATGAGACTAGGAGGGAGGAGGAATGAGACAGCAGGCATGAAATAATCAAATAATTTGTTGCATATGGGGCTCTGGATGTGAATGATGCATGGGAGGCAGTTGTGAGGCAGGTGGAAAGGGTGAGGGCTTTGTGTGCTATGGTAAGCAGCTGAGAACTTATCCCAGAGCCCTTGAAGAATTTAAGCAGAAGAGCTTGAACAATCATTTTACTCATCATTCCCTTTTAGAAATGCTCTTTGTTCTGTTTTCTGTCTAGGACATAGTGTGATGGACACCTTGGCTGTGGCCCTACGGGTGGCTGAAGAGGCCATTGAGGAAGCAATTTCCAAAGCAGAAGCATATGGGGACAGCCTGGTAGGACCCCTCCTGCTCGTCTCTGCGGGGGGAGGTGTGGGTTGGGGTCCTGGCTGCCAGGAGAAAGTGCAGGTTGTCAGGAAATCAGTGTCTCAGCAGCTCTGACTAGAGCAGGGCCCTCCCTCTGCTTTTGTGGTCAGGATTCTCTTTGCAAAGTGATTGCCAAGTCAACCCAAGTCCACCCACAGCACACAGCCATTCTCTTCCCTCCGCAGGACAAGCAAAACGAAGCCAGTTACCTGCGGGACCACAAGGAGGAGCTAACTGAGGAACTGGCCACGACAATCTTGCAGAAGGTAGGTGGGCCCTGGCAGTAGGATGGCTGCAGTTTCCTGGCTGGGCCCGGAGTAGGGACTCTGGCAAGTAGCAGATGAAACATGGGGAGTGTCTCTGGTACTGTATCTTCTGTGCCTTCTCACTTTAGCCTTTTGTGCCCTGGGGACCCATGCAGAGGGAATGTATTGCACTGCTCTGCAGTCGCTCCTGCTAGCTCCGTGCCCTGTGCTGTCCCTTGCACAGTGTACCTGTCAATTACTTCTGAGAAACCAACCACCCCAAAACTCTGTGCTGACAAGGATCTTTCTGTCTTCCACAACCAATTCTCCAGCACCAACTGAGAAGTGAAATTCCATTCAGATACTAACTTCTTCCTGCAGTTAGTGCAGACCCCACATTTAAGGGCCCAGTCCCACAAGACTGCCACTACTTCAGACACCAGCCACAAGTTTCAGGTATCCCCAAGCCACCACACTTCTCCTTACTCCGCTACAAATTTGGGAGTTTCCACGACCCTGGACCCTCAATTCAATGATTTGCTAGAACTCACAGAACTCAGAAAACTGCTTTACTTACCATTACCAGTTTAAAATAAAGGGTACAGGTGAACAGCCAGATGAAGAGATACAGAGAGCAGCAGGGTCTGGGGACAGGATGTACAGAGCTCCCATGCCCTCTCTGTGAACATCACTCCACCAACACATCGATGTATGTACCAACTAGGAAAGTTTCTGTGCCTTGTTGCATCAGAGTTTTTAGCCAGGTTTCAGTATGTAGGCATGATTGATTAAATGATTGATTACCTGATTGAACGCACTCTCTAGTCTTTCTGCTCCGAGCCCTCTAATCATGCACTGTAGTTGGTTTTTCTGGCAACCTGCCGCCATCCTGAAGTTATCTAGGGACCTCACCTTGAATCACCTTGTTAATATAACAAAGGACACTCCTAACACTCGAATCATTGCAAATGTTTTTTGAAACTGTGCCAGGAAATGGGGACAAAGACCAAATACAGACGCCCCTGAACTTACAGTGGATGGGGTTAAGTCCAGATAGTAACCCCATCCTAAGCTGAAGGTATCAGAAGTCAAAATGCATTCAATACACCTAACATACTCTTAATATATCCTAGCTTAGCCTAGCCTATCGTAGATGTACTCAGAACTTGCATTAGCCTATAACAGGTCAGAATCATCTAACTCAAAGCCTATTTTATAATAGTGTTTAATAGCTCATATAATTTATGGAATGCCGTCCTGAATACACAGCACTTTCCCACCATCGTAAAGTCCAAAAATCTTAAGTCAAGGACTATCTGTATATATGTTTTGTTATGCCACAATTTACTTCTTGCTCACACATCTGCAGTGGCTGCACTTCCAGCTGTGGATTGGGACAAAGTCGGCTGCAGCATGTTCACTCTGGGTCCCAACTGAGGGCACATCAGCTGCCTGTGGCCATGACAGGAGCACAAGCCAGCAAGAGGAAGCACACAGTGCTTATTAAGGCCGAGGCTTAGCTCTGGCTTACAGTTACTGACTCCCTCCTCTCATCTCATTGGCCAGAGCAAGTCACACATCGAGTCCAAAGCCAAGGGCTGGGATGTAGAATCTCGCTATACTAGGAGGGTCTGCAGAGTCACACAACAAAGTGCTGTATGCAGGAAGTGTTGAAAAACTTCAGTCTTCCCTTTTGGTCACAATAATTCACATCCCTTCCATATGCCAAGTAGACTCACCACACCCAAAGACCCCCAAATGTCTCATCCCATCACAATTCAAAGTACATTTGATCCACTTTTAGCTCCTTTTTAGCTGGAGATCTGTAAACTAAGCAAACGAATGATCTCCCCCCCATATACCCAACATGCAATGTTTGAAGAGGGACAAAGAGACAGCACTGGCCCCACCCACCTGCAGAGGGGAAGAATGGGAGGCACTGGGGATCACTGGTCCTCAGCAATTCTGAAATCCTGCTGGGTAACATGGCTGGGTCCCCACCCTGCCAGGGGAGATGGCACCTCAGTTCATTGTTCTCTGGGCTCTCGGCCTTCCTTTTTATCCTCCTGTCTGGCCTAAAGGAACATTGAAGAATATGCCCATCTTGGTGGCTTAGCACATTTCTTGACTGCTTCCTGCCTATAGGAAGTTGAAAGCCCAGAGACCTTGGTACAGATGGACTTACTAGGTCCAAATGACTGTGCAAATGAGCTGGATCTGGAGCCATTCTGGTGACTCTTGGTGTCTACCCCCTTGATAGGGCTTCCAGATGCTTCCTAAAGTCAGGACTTACAACCAGAGGCTCTGGGTTTGAAATCCAGCTCCACCATTTATGAGCTGTGTAGCCTTATCCAATAACTTAGTGTCTCTGAGCCTGTTTCCTCATCTATAAAAATGGAAAGAATTACAGTATGCACCTTCTAGAATTAAGTGAGGTAAAGCTTACACAATACCTAGCGTGAGGTCTGACACATGCTAGGCACTTAATAAATAGAAGAAGCTGTTAACATCATAAAAGGATTATTTGCAAACTGTAGAATGCTTAGTACGCTCAAGGCTATAGTTGTACTGGTTTGTCATAGAGCAGATCTGAAACAGCCTAGTGTTCTGTTGACATTAAGCTTGTAAGTGACTGAAAAATATTCCAAAGATGGTCCCAGTTACCCCAGATAGCATCAGGAGGCCTCTCTAATAACTTGCCCCTTTTTTGTCCTCCCCTCCCCAGATTATACGAAAACAGAAGAGCAAAAGTGAGCAGCAAGTGGAAGAAGAGCCAGGATGGCCACATCCCCAGAGTGGCAGCACAAAAGTGGCAGATGAAGGGACCTCAGCATCCCCTGGAGGCCACCGCACTCCTGCTGCCCTCTGGGTGAGTCCCCAAGCAGTGCTGGCCTACCCTCCACATGTGCAAGTCTGGGGCACACATTTAACCCTCTGTAGTTGAATCAGGTGGCCACTGGCCAGGGTAAAAATTTCAAAAAGATGGGGAGCGAAATTGAAAGAGAAAGTGAGTGTGTGTCAGGGGCCAGGAGGGGTAAGAGAGGAGAGAAAAACACAAATGGTCTATTGACAATTATAGAAATAGATTTTACACAGAGACCAATTTAGGAAAAATACAAATGCTGATAGGCTGCATTTTTTTTTCATTCTGAAAAGAATTAGTACTGAGTCCAGTGGGGGGAAATAACTTTATAAGGACCATGTGTATTCTTATAACCTAGATTGCTTGCTTTATTGAAATGGAAAAGTGACCGCAAGAAAATTGCCACTGCTATTTCAACCACCAAAATGGTCACATCTGGACACAGGAAGTCACAGTGTGGAGCCAACCTTTCTGTCTGTCACCTTGAGTCACAGAGCTCAGTGGTCTTCCCATGACCCAAGGGTTTGGTGCTGCTCCTGTCTGCAGTGGAGTTGCTGAGCCTGTCACATCTGTTGTTACTGGTTTGAGTAAGCCCAGTTGAGAATGTGTAAAGTGCTGGGGAAGAAGCTGGGTGGGGTAGGTTCTGCAAGAAACCGAGGGACTGGTCAGTAGGGCTCTGGTTCTGCTAGATATAGGGCAGCACACAGATGCACTTCAAAACTGGAAAGTTAGACATGGGAAAGGCAAGGCCAGGGGCATACCCCATCCCCACTGGGGGTCCAGTGGCATTCATCCCTGCATGAGCAGATTAAAACAAGGGTGTGCAAAGCAGCACATGGTAGACTTGCAGTCCACAAGGGATCAGCATAGGTCACCTACATAAACTCCCTTGTCCTCGCCAACTGCCAGATGCACAGGGGTTACAAGGAGTATCTTTATGGCTTTATCAGAGATTAAACTTCATTGATTTATCAGCAGAACCTTTCTTCGTCAACATGCTGTCAGCTTGTTTTACTGCTGCTGTCATGCGTATGCTCAGCACCAAGGAGAACAAAACAAATAGAAGACTCCATGCCCACCCTCCAGAGCTTTATAATCTGGTTAGCAAGGCAGGAAGGGACACGGGTAAGGCTGGTAAAAAAAAAAAAAAAAAAAAAAAGAGAGAGATAATGGGAGACAGTACATCATTGGGTGCTGAGTTGAAAGATTAAGAATGGAAATGGATTTGGAATTCAGACAAGGGGCCTTTCCAGCAAGGAGTGGAAAGGGATCCTACTGGATGGAGCAGGGGAGCAAAAGTCCTTCAAACAGCCTGTCACTCAGACTGGTCACAAAATCAGAGCTGCAGTTCCTGGGCTCAGGCTGCAGGCATGACATCACCTTGCATTTGGGGTCTTTCTGAAATATTTTCTGCAAACTCAAAGTATCAAGTCTTGGGGAGTTCCAGAAAGTGGAAATTCCCACAGCACCCCAGACTCAACCATGAGTCAGTGAGTCAGAGGCAAGAACAGAGAGCTTGGGCTCTGTCTCTGCCACTCCTGGGGTAGGATTCTGGACTTGCCCTTGAGTAGGTATGAGACCTTGAACAACTGTTTAGTTTCCTGTCTGTAAAATGGAAATAATAAGACCTGCCCTAAAGGATGGCTCTGAGGATTCCTTGTGTGGCCAACACAGTCTTTATTGAGCTTCCACTATGTGCAAGGTACTGTGCTAGGTGCTTGTATTAGTTTGTTCTTGTGCTGCTAATAAAGATGTACCCAATACTGGGTAATTTATAAAGGAAAGAGGTTTGACTCACGGTTCCACATGACTGGGGAGGCCACACAATCATGGTGGAAAGTGAAGGAGGAACAAAGTCACATCTTATGTGGTGGCAGGCAAGAGAGCGTGTGCAGGGGAACTCCCTTTTATAAAACCATCAGATCTCATGAGACTTATTCACTATCACAAGAACAGCATGGGAAAGACCTGCCCCCATGATTCAATTACCTTCCATCAAGTCCCTCCCACGACATGTGGGAATTATGGAAGCTACAATTCAAGACAAGTTTTGGGTGGGGCCCCGCCAGACCATATCAGTGCTACAGAGACAGTGGTCTCTGCAGATACAGCAGACTTCACCATCTAATGGTGAAACATGAGGAGTGCCATAAACAAGTAAATAACAACAACAATAACAAAAAACACAGGGGTATGTATTTCAGGAATTGTCATCAAGGGGATGGAGGGGAGGGAGTGCTGGGGACAGGTAGATGCTTGGTTAGGGAGCTGTCAGGGAAAACCATTTTTAGGAGATGACATGAAACCAAGACTTGAAAGATGAGAGGTCTGGGAGCAGTAAGAGGAAGGGCACTACTACAGGGGGAATGATGTGTATGGAGGCCCTGAGCAGGAAGGAACTTGGTATGTTCAAGAAATAGAATAGTGGTTATGTGGCTAGAAAATGGGGTAAGGGGCACAGTGGCAGTGGCAGGTGACTAAATGAGACGTGGACATAGTTATTGCTCTATTATTAACTTATTTCTACATTTTGAAATAAGGGTGACTGTATCTTCAAGGTATCCCCTATGAGTTATGAGCTATACTTCACTGTGTTTTGGACAGCAAGGCTCCAGGCCCAGAGAGCAGAGCTGTTGGCATATCACTTACCTGCTCCAATTCCCAGACCACCTGCTGCCAACAGCCCAACCCCACTGTGGGTCCTCACCAGTGCCCTCTCCCCTTCCTTCCCACACACAGCCAGATGGCATCAGCTTGCTTCTCTTCTAAGATATCAACTCACCCATTAGAATATTTCCATCCACTCACTGCATCTTGGGGCTGTCTCATTCTTCCTTTATCAGAAGCTGAAAGCTCTTTCTCTGACCCTGTCTCATTTCCCCTTGCACTAAAAAGACCTCACTCCCCAGAAACAGACCTTTCCTGATTCTTCCTATTGGCATCAAGTGACTGCAGTTCTGCACAGTAACTAAAATTCTCACGTAAATCCCGTGAACAGAGAGGCATGGGAAGGGGGTCATCACAGAAAGCTTGAATAGTAATGTTAATAATGGAGTGATAGTCAGGTATCTATAGTAATAACACAGGAACAATACCTTTTCTTTATATAAATTTTATATGCAACGGGCTTTCTTTCACACATTGATTCCTTAGCTCCACACGTGAGCACCCTGCATTGTCCCCATTTTACAAAGGAGTAAACTGAATCATAGCTACCCCAAGCCACTGGAATTAAGTGGTTGCAGGTCTCCTGGTTCTGAGCATTTCCTACACTCCGTTGTCTCCTGTTTCCTTGGGAAGCTCCGGAGATGGAATGCCTGCTTCCCCACCAGATGGTCGCTGGATCTCCTTGTCATGCATATGGTTAAAACTGGACATAGTGCCCCTCCCACCTCCTAGAGACCAGAGATGCTCTGTGTATCATTAGAGATGTAGGACAGTGGGCTCTTGTATCATAAGCCAAAACGGTGGGCACAACAGTGATGACAGCCAATAGTGTTCCCGTTTCAGCAGCAGGACAGCAGAGGCATTTCATCCACACTCCTCAGCCAAGCACTGGCTGAAAGCAGCTTCAAATAAACAACCATGACCCTTCCCAAGGGGAATCTCCCGCTTGGCTCATCAGCTCACTGGAATGAACTCAGTCCACCCAGGACACAGGCGTGGCCACCGGCTGTTTTCACTGAGGAAGACATTTAGAGGCACAAGCCAGAGTCTCATGGGATTTCCCTTTGGTTTACTAAAACAAATACCTCTCAGGATTTTATTTGTTTTGTCAGAAAAAAATCTGTCTTGCCAAACGCCGGCCTCCTGCACAGCATAACTCATGGCTATGCTTTGACATCAATGTAAAGAGAACTTAAGCATTTGTTTTTTTGAAGCAAATAGAGGAATATTATTTATTTTGAGATTTTTATATAAAAATGGGGCCTAATGGAAGCCCCTCCCTGAATGTAACATATCTTTTGAATTTCCATATGCAATACTTTGCAAGATATGTCCACCTCCCCCCAGCTTGAATCCACCTTTTAGGGAGGGAGGTGGGAGAGAACTGTGCGGCTGTAGCTTGGGAAAGCACCATCAAGGATACTGACACATACCCTTGGGTGAGCACCTCTCTTGGCATAACAGTGTAACCACCCAGATCATATGCCTGGCAGGGGTGCAGGCACCTTACAGGAGGAACAAGGTTATCAGCTGGCTCTTTATTACTGCAACCTTCATCTTTATCTTAGACATTTGATCAAGGAGACTCCCTCCTGTCCTCTCCCTGTGAGTTCACACTATCCCGTGATTTTCAATATGTAAACAGCATACTTTTGTCAACAGTATCAGGAAGGAAGAAATATATGCTCTGTCTTCCCCCCGTTCATACTTACACTCATGAGGAGCTGCCCCAAGCGAAGAAGCCTGAATCTGAGAGTAAAGAGAAATCTGTTATGCACTCAGCTAGGTCCTGGACACAATTTTCCCTTGAGAAGCCACTATTATCAGCCCCTTCACGATTGTCTGAGGTCACACGTGTTCTGGATTTTCCACAGCTCAGCACCAGGTGTGTAGTAGGCATCTTGCAGTACAGGTCCATGGCGGTTGATGGCCGAACAAGTCTATTAGCGGGGCTATAATGGAGACCTGGACTTGAACCTTTCCCTTCAGGTTTCCAGGATACCTGTGGAGGAGGAAGAGTGTACGAATTAAGGTCCCAGCAAAAACACTGGGATCCATACCCTCATAAATCATCATTTTTAGTACCTGACTTGGTTTAAAGACAAGCACTGTGATTAGAGCTTTTAAAAAATGTTATTGGAGGCCAGGTGCAGTGGCTCATGCCTATAATCCCAGTGCTTTGGGAGGTCAAGGCGGGTGGATCACAAAGTCAGGAGATTGAGACCATTCTGGCTAACACGGTATAACCCCGTCTCTATTAAAAATACAAAAAATTAGCCGAGCATAGTGGCGGGCACCTGTAGTCCCTGCTACTCGGGGGACTGAGGGAGGAGAATGGT